TACTACAAATATTGATACTTTTGCTCTGTAAATTTGATCACACTTAAAGTATTTTATGACTAATTAATTGTCATATTTATAAATAATTTAGCATTATGCAAAAGCATATGACTCTATAAATTTGATCACACTTAAAGTATTTGATAAATATCATACTTATTAGTACTACATCTGTCCATACTTTAGCATTATGCAATTATTTATAAATATGCCAATTTACACATACTTTAGCATTATGCATGCAACTGAATAAATCTGGTTTTGAGCTCATTTTATCGACATACAATGCATGATGCATCAGTCTCTGTATAGATGGAAAGCTAAAAAGTAGTTTAGAGTAAGGAAAAGTCAAAATAGTAGTATTAGTCTTGAGCAAATAAGAGAGCGTGCAATTTTATAATACTACACGAGGAATTTACCATAAGAGTGTTAGTCTTGAATGTTCAAATGCAAAGAAACCCTGACCACACCCACAAACACACAAACCAGGGAAACAGGCTAAAGTTACAAAAGCAATTACACTTGTAGAAAAAGAAGATGAGGTAAAAGGAAAGGTCATACGGAGGCAGCTGGAAGCCAAGCAGGCAGAGCACTAACCTAAGTACACGTAGCCCCGTCTCCCCTGCATCGTGACTCCTAAGTCAACACGGACGCCTCTCCCTACTCGCTCCTAGTGCTATGCGCCACTGTGCTCTACGGATGTAATTGGTTTGTTTATATTAGCCTTAATCCACGTTAGATCTTATTCAGCCTAACTCAAGTCATCATACACATAGATAATATTTTAGTGTTTTATTGTCTTGCATAGACAAACCGTGTTTGATAATTTTTTATTTGATTGCTTACATTTTGTTGCTTGTAGTTACATCCATGTTAAATTAGAGGTCTCATGTTTCTCACAGAGGTAAGGAAAGGGAAAATATTTTGTTTCTATGTGCTCATCATATTGTGTAAATCTGTATTTGTATTACCTAATACGGTCAAACCTGGCGTACTAGCTAATGTTACGAACACTCGTATGAGCATCTCGAAAAGACTAAGCCGACGGATCTTGAAATTGTTAAAATCATCATAGACGTCTCGCTTACCTTTGAAAGGATAGAGTCATTAAATCATAGAATAAATCTTGAAAAATACAAGCACCGACGTCAAGTTGAGAACTTAGACCTGGGTGAATATGTTCTACCATAAAGAATCCAACGAAATAAGCTATGATTAATTTGCTAAGAAAATTGCATACTTACGGTAGGTACCCTCTAGCTCGAATTTGCCATTACAAAACACGAAAATGAATTTGCCCCTCGAACCAGCCAAAACATGAGTTAGGCTACGATTTATCCATTTCCTGAGAAAATTTCATACTTACGGTAGGTACCCTCTTGCCCCTTCCAGCTACGATTTATCCATTTCCTTTGATGGGTGTGTCTTATTTTTAGCGAAAACAAGTGACAAAATTATAAGGAAAAACTCTTAGTGATGCAAAGTGACTAAGCAGCCAAGCTACTCCTCTCCGCCGCCCGACTCCTCTCCAATTATCTCCCGGCATTACTGCTGTGCCCAATAATGAATCTTGCAACTTCTCGATGAAGTTAGGTGTTTCCCCTTAGCAGCTAGATGGACAGAACGACTCCATAGTCAGGCACCGAATGGGCTCATTGTTTTGTTGGAGTGGATGGTGAGGTTTGGCGAGGGACCAGTGTCACCGAGCCCTAGATTTGCCTTTGGCTCTGCCCTTGAAGCTTACAACTCCTCTCATTGCCCCCTGCCCTCAATTGTCTCTTTCCATTTTCGCAGTGGTATACTGTATACATGAACACCTCTAGGTCGTCACTTTGGGACTGCATCTATGATCTATTTTTTGATCGCCCTGGGCGTATAATTTTTTTTCCTCATTAAAGATTCAAGACTAGCCAAGTCAATTGCCCCCCATCTCTCTCTGTATTTATTTGTAATTTCCTCTTTCATGGTAGAATTGTGAAGTGTAGACTATCCATGATTGGCTCCTCCTTAGTAGTTAATTAACCTACTACTAAGATAAGAGTTGCCGATGATTTGTGTTAGCAAATATTTGATTCATAGTGAAAGTAAGTCCTAAGTTTAGTTGCTGTAACTGAGTGACAACTAGTGGACTAATGCTTTTATTGGAGATGATCAGATGATTAAGCTAAGTCCACAAGATGGTGTTGGGCAAGACATGGAGCTATGTGAAGAGGTGGCGTGATAATGAAGACGGAGTGCTCAACATGGAAGAGATGATGGACATCGTGAATGCAAGTGGAGACAAGCCCAAAGGCAAAGGTATAAACCTATAGGGGTCTATTTCACCGGCCCAGGTGTTGCAGAGAAGTGCATGACCAGATTTAGGATATGTACTCATACCATAAAGAAGGGAATTCTTTGGCTAATACGGTTATCTAGTGCTACTAGGAGAGAACTAACAACGCATATATGTTAGGTATAGTGACATGGCAAGCAAGCAAGAAAAAACCTTTTAAAATATTTTCAAAATTGCTAACTCAACGCTAAAGGTATTGTTATCCCATGGGATACTCTTTGGAGTTACCACATTTGAAAAACAAAACTTTGAGAGAGGGGCTTGGTCTAGTGTTGTTGCATTCACCGAAAAAGTCTTGTACCCACTAGATGGCAAGCACCAGAGCTTACCCCCCTATAAGATTGTCTCCAACAATCGCGACCCAAAATACAAGACTCATTCATCATTTAGGTAGCGCTACAGGCAAATGGTTCAATACCTATTTTTTGTCTTCTCCAACAACAAGACCCAAAAGACAACCCTTTCTGCAAATGGGTCTCCAGGAGAGAGGATACTCAAATTTGGGTTATGCCTCTTCTGATATCTAAAATGGATCTTCCATATAGGTACTATGTTGGAGGCTATAGGTATTGTGTTGGAGACCCATTTTGGGTTTGGTTCCGCAATGGGTCTCATGTTGGAGACACCCTAACCGCTTTGGTCTGACCATCGCTATCTTCACTGTTTGGTGGGCCATCGAAAAAGTCCGGTGCTCCGAGGTTCGGGGAACCAGAGCTTAGGCCCCCTCGTGAAAACAATGGGTTTTAATAGGAGGGCCTATTCTTCTAGTGCCACGGGAGAGAAGGGCACCGGAGAATAGGCTAGGGACATGTGACGGCGTCCGTGAGGGAAGTTTGTATTAAACAAAGAGTTTCAAAGGGCACCGAAATTTTTCGGTGTGGACTCACCGAAGATTTCTGCATGGTCTGTGAGTTCTCGAGTTACTCTTGGAACGCACTGCAGCCTTTCGGTGGTTCCGCGTTGGGGATTGCAAACAACAATTCTAGTGGAATCATGACCGTTGATGTGCAAGGGCTTTGTAGAAGGATTTGTGATGGAGTCTTGTGCTCATTTCTGCAGGATATCGTAAAGAGCAACTCTAGTGGAATTGTGGCCGTTGGTGTACCTCATGATCGAGGCGGCTGTTAATGGTAATTAAATGATCAATTTTATCGTAGGTTTATCATGAAAATGGTATTTTGGCATGCCACATAGGTTGACGCGAACAAAATGTTAGATCATAAAATTCTTTTTAAGCTAGATTATTTTTAAAACATTGATTTAAAAAGGTCAAAAAAAAAAAAAAATATCGAGCATAACAAGAAGGGATGGAGGGGACATTTGTTTGTTTTCAAAAGAGAGGGGAGATTTTAGGAGATCAAGAAAAATTAAAAAAAGAGAGAGAGAAAAGAGTTTACTAAAGCCTACTTCACCGTCCTGAAATATAGCGTATTTTTATTTGTCCTAAATCAACCTACACATCAAAAAGGTAAGTTATAAAAATATATTCTATAATGTTAATAATGGAGCTTATATGATGTTAAAAATATTATTTCTATTTTCTATAAATTTGGTTGAACTTAAGATGAATTGACTTAGGACAAATAAGAATACTCCTACGCTATATTTCAAGATGGGGAGTACTTCTTTCGTCCTGAAATATTTGGTGTCATCGAAATTTTAGAACAATTTATATTATTGAGCTAATGATATACTAATAACTCTCTTTATCATGGAGAGCTATTGTTATCACCATATTTTAATTATGATGTTTGGTTTTGTCAATAGATATTAATGGAATGCATGTATATAATTAGGGCATGTGTGTCAGTGTCAATAAATGAGTATGTGTTGGTATACCTAGAATCACTTATAATTTGTGCTAAATTTTTAAATGTTGGGTAAATTATGTTTCAGCACGTAGGGAGTTTTTTTTTCTTCTTAATCACCTTCATGATTTTTTTTAGGAAAGAGCTCATTATAAGAGCTGCTGCCTGCTGGTCTGCTGGAGATGATCTTTAACCAAACAGCCCCCGAGTTCACACTGCTTTTCTTCTCCCGTTACGGTACCCGCCGCGTGCGCGCGCTCTGCCTCTCGTGCGACGAGAGACAACTGGGCCACCGCTGCCGCCGTCCTGCACCAGGTGACTAGGTCTTCGTCGGATCCTTTGCCGGCGACGGCACCCACCAGGTATGCGCATCCCTTCTCCTCCATTCCTACTGCGCGAAACCGAGCATCTCTTCCATTCCTACTGCGCGAAACCGAGCACCCGGACTAGCTTAAGTTATTTGTCTATTTATGTTCGGATCTGATATAACTACAAGTGTATACATGCCTAATAACTTCGATGTTTTGGCAAAAATTATTTGGCGTGCATGTGTATACGCATGTCCCTGATGTCTAAGATTGTACTCTTGGCGATCTGAAAGTGGTTATTCACCTTTTCTCAACAGAATTTCTCTTGAAGTTCAGGCGGGTCTTTTATTTTATCTCTTGTTTTTTGTTGGTTACTGTCAATATCTATGAATTGTGTAGAAAATGTCATACTTGTGGGGATTTCCAGTGAGGGGTGTTATTATATGATCATATATAGTTATATGAGCTTCTCTGTTGCTACTTCTGGATGTTGATAACAGATTCAGAGTTCACAAGGGATATAACAGAAGTTGAGCATTGACGGATAGGATGCCGTGGATGCCCCTGTACTCGTCGTATCCTAGTAGCCGAAAGTCCATCTGCCTTGTTGTATTCTTCCGTGTTATTGTGTATGTCTCTTCTTCTCCAAATTGCAGTTCTTATGGTCTTCATCTGACCTGTTTGGCTCGCCATACAGGTCAGGTGGCTGCATCTCCACAAGACTCCTTTTTCCTCTAGTGGTTCTCTATTCTTGACGACTCAAGTGGGAAAAGATTGAGAATGTATGTGAAGGTTGAGCTTAAGAGATTTCGTGTTGTGAAGGAAGTGGGAAGAATAGTAATGAATGTTAGGATCTTTGCTTGTTACCAGCTTATTGAAGTGTGCCAGGTGAGCTATTTATTTTGTTCCTGTTTCCAAAATAAAGCATAAATGTTCTGAAATAGAAAATAAAATATAATATAGTCTTTCAACGGCTAAGTTTAGATAATTTGTTTTGGTCCATCATGGTAATCTTTGTATAGCAGTTAAAAGAATCATCCATCAATACTGATGGGTCCCAATGAAAATCATTTAGTTATGGATAGCTAAATAAGTTGGTTCTGAAATGTATTTTGTGAAACACCCAGGGTCAAAGAGATTTATTTATCCTAGAACATAAAAAGAAACGAGATTTCCCTGAATTGCAGTATTGCACAGGACAATGTTTTTAGTCAGTATTTCTTGTTTCCATTTCTAACTGCAGTGTTTCTATTGATAAAGATATTAAAGCACAATGTATTTTACCTTTAATACAACAGTATGTAGATATGCTACTTGCAAATGTTCAAGTGATCTGTATCTGTATCAAATATATATAACTCAAATGCAATTTACATGTTCTTTTAAAACTATCCATGTCCTTGGTTATTTGATTACTCTTTCTGAACCTTGTTATTGCAGGTTGAGTACTTCCGTCAATTGCTTAAGCCTGTGATGGCTACTTATCATGATGACTACTTCCATCAATTGCAGGCTGATCTGCTATTTAGGTTCGGTGTCAATAGAAATTTGCTACAACAAAACAGTGCAGTCATGGTGATGGCTACTTCGCGGTAGGACATATTTAGTCATCTGTTGTTGCAAGCTGCAATCACATTTTAGAATTCTGGTTGTTTTGGGCAGTTCACTGCACCAAATCAAGTAGATCACATACATTAGCGTCATAGTGTGCTTGGGTCCAATTTCGGCCATCTACCCATGCAGAGGTATCCAGCATCTTTAGCTGGAAATTCCTCCTTTGCTTATGGATATGAAGCGGATTATTGTATGGCAAATGGGCTTTTGGGTGTTCAGTGCAACCACAGTGTTCCTGTTTCACCTGCCTTAGCAGCCCCTTCGGGCATCACAAGCCCTCACATCCGAAGCCCACTTGATGCATTTGAGCTCCAGCCTTCCAAGGTATGCCCCAGAAATTTCGTCATCTTTGATCACACAGATGAAAAAGGATGCATCATGTATCATCCAGCCTTGGTGAACAATCTGAACCCCACAAACATCGATTTGCTCCAATGCCATGGTGAAGTGGTTTGTAGAAGTTCAGGCCAAGACAATGGCAATCTTGAAGAACAGTCCTCATCTTTCAAGGAGGATACAGAAGAAATCGATGCACTTCTGAGCTCTGATGATGACAGCGATGAAGATGATGTTGTGAGTACCGGGCGTACTCCTGATCCCTTGGAAAGTGGTCCCTTTGAATCATCTTCACTGCCAAGGTTTAAGACAACTAGTCAAGTTTCTGAAAACAGTTCAGTTTGCTATAGATCCATGGAAAATGTAACTCATGAGAAGATCAGGAACGTGGTCACAGTTCTTAGGGGTATAATCCCTGATGGAGAACAACTGGATACTTCTTCTGTCCTGGAGGAAGCTGTTAGATATCTGAAGTTCCTCAAGATGGAGTCAAAGAAACTCGGCATGGAGGGCTTGAGCATTTAGAAGTGACCATCAACATGGAGGTATAAACAAAATCTTAAGGATCCAAGACTGCATGTGTATATAGATCGAGTTCAGTTTGGTCATTATCACCATTATTACTGGATTGGCTTTTTCTGGGTATGGAAGGGAAGCAAGGTATCCTGCTTTTGCTACTTTCAGCAGGCCTCAAAAGACTGTTTGTGGGATTCTGATGCTTGATTTCTGGTATTCCTGCTCGTCATGGTGATCGTGCGGTTGAGCTGTGGATGCTGCTGCCATCATGTTGTCTGGCTTACCTTTTGCCATTTGTGACATGGAACTCCACCTTGCTACGATCAACCTTGCCTTAGTGGGCACACCCCAAGTAACTGTACTTAGCTGAAGGTTACTGCCGTCTACCTTTTCAGGACCCCGTCTTCAGGACTTAAACTATTGTGTATGTTTGCTTTGATATACCGTACAGAACAGGGTATTATCGTTGTAAAGCATGGTAGGAAATGATGCCGAGCTTTGGCTTTGTGAATCGTGTGAAGAAGAAGAATAATCTGTCTCCCTCTATTTGCTTTGGATTTTTTTGGTGATGATGGTGCTCACCTTTGGTTGAGCATGGAGATGATTCTGATGATGGTGTCCACGAGATACCATGGCTTCTGTGCTTTGATTTATTCGATATGCTTTTCGCGAAAGCTATGAAAGAGCATCAAGCATTGGCATGGGCGTGCAATCTTTTGCAAAGGCCGATTATCGCCCTATTAGTTTGGGTTTGTTTGGCTTATAAGCCGTACTTTTTCAGCCAACGAACAATATTTTTCTCTCACACTAAATCAGCCAACGATACTTTCAGCCATGGCTTATAAGTCAAACAAGCCCAAACAAACAGGGCGTATGCTTTTACTAAAGGAACGGTGTTTCTAACCTTGCGTTGCCCACAGCAGGATCAGGCCAACCTGGTTTATTTTGATGGCCAGGCCAGGTGGGAAACTGAGAGCAAGGTCAATAATAGAGCCAAGTGCTTGACTATAAGTCAAGTTATAAGAGCCAAGTCATCCAATAGTTGTCTCATATTTGTCTATAAAAAGGTTGTTTATTATTATGTGGTACCATGTCTTACTTTCTCTTTCGTACTCCTCCTCACATACATTATTGTTTGGCCCCACAGATGCCCATGCTTCTGTGCCCAGCTTGTGCTAAAATAAGAGCCAAGCTCTCTTCTCTCTCCTTTCTTCTCCTCTCCACATTAGCAAAAATGTTGACTAACTTGGCTATAAGCCCATTACTTAACTTGCTCTGAGCCAGTCACGCCCTACGTCGCCCCTCGCCACCAGCCCACCAGGTGATGCTTTCATAGGCCATCTTCTTCTAGACACCAATAAGTCATCATCGTGGCCTCAGGGGCAGTGAACAGAGCATTGACACAGCTACTCCGATTGTTCGTGGTTACTTTAGCTTTTTCCATAGACCCAGTTTAGTTGCGAACACAAGGTTGATATGTGCCCTTATGGTTCGGATTTGTGATGAGTGATTGTCAACGTGATTCGCGTCTTGGGTTCAGTTTGTGAACTAACCATGGCATGAGTTGGGTTGTGTAACATGTCTCTTGGCTTGTGGTGCGCAGGTGTGGAGCTCGGAGGCGGTGGTCGACAGCGAGGTGAAGTTCAAGTAGGGACGTGCCGTGCTGATGGACCGGGAGCGGTGAAGGAAGGACGTGAGGCTTGGACTAAGGGACCAGGAGGCCGGATGACCAGCCGTGGTGGCTGACATCTGTGGCAGAACCTCCTAAGAAATCGGGCCCACGTGCACCTATCGATGTCTCAACAGACCTCAGATAGCGTACACAAGTTCCCAACAACTTAACAGGTCTGTCGGGTGTCCCCGGGAAACCCGAATCATCCACGTTTCAAACAAGATCCCAATCACAGTCATTGCAGATTACAACATTTTTCAATATACATACTAGAGGTAAATAAGCGGAAGACTTAAGTTTAATATTACAAACCAGTTGTTTCAAGCTTACATAACCATAAGTGTCATACAGCCATAGTAGCGAGATAATATTACATTAACATTATTTATTTCACACAAACTAGTGCCTTGTCCAAAGGCCATTCATCATTCCTCATCACATAAAATAACAACTTATGAAACAAATCTTATTTAGTGAATGCATTCTAAATTTTCTTGTTTATAAATGCTTTGCAATGCATATGATGACATGCCAAGTTTTAGTTCTAGGTCCAAACACCAGAGGTGTTACAACCCTTCCCCCTTAAAGAAATCTCGTCCCGAGATTTAAAACTTAAGGCTAAGTAATGGAAAAGGAAATGTGTCAAGCTAACACATCATAACTTTATTCAAAAGACTAGTGAGGGGGTTTTCCATTCTTTTGACAAAATCAACAAGTTACAATATAGACGAGGTATTGCAACTAGAGAGAAGCAAAGAAGTCAGGAAAGTTTTCTTCTAAATAATCCTTAGACTCCCAAGTAGCTTCTTCTTCGGTGTGCTGGTTCCATTGTACTTTGTAGAACTTGATTGTACGCCTTCGAGTGACTCGATCCTTCTGATCTAAGACTCTAATGGGGTACTCGGCATAAGTCAAATCAGGTGCTAGTTCTACATCACCAAAGTCAATCACTTGGTCAGGTACTTGAAGACACTTCTTCAACTGGGATACATGGAAGATATCATGCACAGTTGACATATGATCTGGTAGCTTAACACGATAGGCGACTGGTCCACATCTTTGTTGGATTTGAAACGGACCGACATAACGGGGCGCCAACTTTCCCCGAATCCCAAAACGATGAACTCCTTTCATTGGCGATACCTTGAGGTAAACATGATCTCCCACTATAAATTCTAGCGGTCGTCTCCTCTTATCAGCATAGCTTTTCTATCGGGATTGAGCTACCTTCATATTAGCTTGTATGAGTTTAACCTTCTCTTCTGCTTCCTTGATTACATCCGGTCCAAAGAACCAACGTTCTCCAACATCTGACCAATGTAAAGGTGTCTGGCATCTACGACCATATAATGCTTCAAATGGTGCCATTTTAATGCTCTCTTGATAGCTATTGTTATATGAGAATTCAGCTAAGGGAAGGAATTCATCCCACATAACACCATAGGAGAGAACACATGCTCTTAACATATCTTCAAGAATTTGATTTACCCTTTTCGTCTGTCCATCTGTTTGTGGATGATAAGCAGAACTACGGATCAGTTTAGTTCCCAAAGACTCATATAGACTTTTCCAAAACTTGGATATGAACAATGAACCTCTGTCAGAGACAATGGTCTTGGGTGCCCCATGTAGACTGAAGATTCTATCCAGATAAAGCTTTGCATACTGCTCCGCTCGATATTTATCTCTGACTGGTAAGAAATGAGCTATCTTGGTTAGGCGATCAACAATAACCCATATTGAATTGTAGCCTGCAGATGTCCTAGGCAACCCTACTATGAAGTCCATACAGATATCTTCCCACTTCCAAGATGGAACTGGCAAGGAATGTAATGGACCTGCCGTCTTCATATGAATCGCTTTGACTCTCTGACAAGTATCACATTTGGCCACATATTGAGCTATTTCTATTTTCATTTTGGTCCACCAATATCTCGTTCTCAGATCATGATACATTTTGTTGCTACCTGGATGAATGGAGTATCTTGTAGAATGAGCTTCATCAAGAATCTGCTTTCGTAGCTCCGGATGTTTGGGTACTACCAATCTATCTTTGAACCATACGACATCTGATTCATCAATCTTGAAACATGTTGATCTTCTATATCTGACTTTATCCTTGATATGGGCTATGCCCTTACTTTTTCTGTTGAGCAAAGAATGATGATCGATCTTTGATAGTGGACTCAACTACAATATTTGATGAGGAACCTTGTTCTATGATTTGTAAATTCAGATGCTCCATCTCTTAACACAATGTTCGTTGCATAGGTTTTTCACAATGACAATGGAAATGATTCTTGCGACTCGGGGCATCGGCAACCACATTAGCCTTGCCCGGATGATAATGCACTTCTAAGTCATAATCTTTGATAAGTTCTAACCATCTTCTTTGCCTCATATTCAACTCTAACTGAGTAAAGATATATTTCAAACTTTTATGATCCGTATAGATATGACATATATTGCCCAATAAATAATGTCACCAAATCTTGAGTGCATGAACAATAGCGGCTAATTCAAGATCATGGGTAGGATAATGTTCTTCATGCTTCTTGAGCTGTCTGGAAGCATATGCTATGACTCTGCCTTCTTGCATAAGAACACAGCCAATACCAATTCCAGATGCATCACAATAGATATCAAATGGCCTCTCGATATCAGGTTGTGCTAATACTGGTGCAGTTGTCAGCAACTTCTTCAATGTCTGAAAGGCCTCTTCACATTCTGTTGACCATACAAACTTAGTTTGATTTTTCAGTAGTCCAGTAATTGGCTTCGCAATTCTGGAGAAGTCAGGGATGAACCGACGGTAATACCCTGCCAACCCCAGAAAACTACGAACTTGATGTACAGTTGTGGGTGCTTTCCAATTAAGGACTTCTTCTACCTTGCTCGGATCAACAGCTATACCTTCCGCAGATAGTACATGACCTAGAAATTGTACTTCCTCTAGCCAGAATTCACATTTGCTGAATTTGGCATATAATTGGTGATCTCTTAATCGTTGTAGAACAATACGGAGATGTTCCGCATGTTCCTTTTTGCTCTTAGAGTAGATAAGAATGCCGTCAATGAACACTACTACAAACTTATCCAACTCAGGCATGAAAACTGAGTTCATCAGGTACATGAAGTGAGCCGGGGCATTGGTCAACCCAAAAGACATGACTAAATACCCATATAGACCATATCGAGTAGTGAACGCTGTCTTCGGCACATCTTCTCGTCTGATCTTAATCTGGTGGTAGCCTGATCTCAAGTCTATCTTCGAGAACACCTTAGCTCCCGCAAGTTGATCAAAAAGCAAATCAATTCGGGGTAAGGGGTATTTGTT